TTGAAACTACATTTCAAAGCTATACATGATTGGAAACAGAAACATCATTGATTGAAGTGGTGGACGAGTTTCTAATGATTGTTTGATCTCATAATCTACATTGACACAACTTGTTCTCTTGCAAAGTGAGGAAAAACTTTATTTTAATTCTTATCATTTGGTGTCAATAGGAATTAGACTTGATAACGCTCTGATAATGGAGTATTTCCTAAACACCTAATGGGAATTCGACTTGATAACTTTCTGATGACAATGTAATATTTCCTAGATAACTTTCTAATGACAATGGAATATTTCCTAAAACACCTAATAAAACGACAAATGAGAAACAAACATATCTTGTTATTATTATTATTCCAAATCCAATTTTCTTTTAAATAACCAACTAAACATTGAGCCAAGTCTATCCTCCCTATCTTCCTCTCTCAAATTAACTCATCAGCAGGTTTATAAGTCCCGACTCATTAGCAAGTTTATTAGTCCTGACTTGTAAAAACAAGAGTGGTGAGCCCCACACTTGTGGGACTTGTGGAGCCACCACAATGGTCCGCCCTAATCAAGGGTGGAGTCAGGATCTAAATTAAGAGGGGGCACAGTGAAAAAAAATATAAAAAAAATAAAAAATTAAAGAATTAAGGAATAGAAGGAAAAAGACAAATAAGAAGAAAAAGGGAAAGAAAAATGATTGGACTTTGAAAGAAACTGATTAGATCATGCATGAATAAGGAAAATTTGACTTTTTTAAAAAGAAAATTAAAGAAATTTAAAAAGTAAAGGAAAATAGAAAAGGAAAAAATTTAAGGGGGCATAATATACAAATGTCTATATAAATGTACAAAAATTTATAAAAAAATCATATATATAATATAGGGTGGCCAAGCCAGGGGCATGTGCCCCCCTAAGCATATACTAGCTCCGCCCCTGGATCTAATAGAATAGCTCATTTGAAATTTGGTTGGGCAATCGAATTTAGTGAGATGAGGTCAACCAGTCCTGATTCGCGGCGCTCGATTACGGCTCTATATTTATGAGTGTTTGACAAGCACGAGTGACAATTATCTAATAACCACTGCTCTCGAGGGTACAAAGGCCGCATTAGTTTTTCACCTTTTTTTTTCATTTCGTTTCGTAAGTGCACTTTACTCACTCTTTTCATCGCACCACTGACAACAGGTCTTTATTTGCATCAAAAATAAATATTAGGGAGTTTTGAGAACACATAGGAGGTGGGCAACCCTTGATATTATTCGAGATCCATTTTTCTTTTACACAACCAACTACATTGAGCCATTATCTACTACTGTGATAAATGATGTTCAACAGTTGATTTCATGAAATAGTAGCTTTAAATTGACGTGGGCTCCTAGACAAAGTAATGGTGGTAGCTAATGATTTGAGCAAATGGTCCCCCCAGTACAAAATGCGCTGATCTGCGGTGGGATGTTTGCACTTCATGACTTTCCTTCCCCTCTCAAATTAATTCATGAGCAATGTTACAAATTACTGTCACAAGAGTGGTGGGCCTCACCCCTCTTGTGAGAACACCAGACGGGGCTTGTGGAGTCCACCACAATGTTACAGGGCCTGGGCTAACGTCGGCCCCTAATAGCACAACTCATTTGAAATACGGTTGGGCGGCCGAATTCAGTGAGGTGAGGTCCACCAGTCCTTTTTTGCAGCCATTGGCTACTGTATCACGACTCTACATACACGAGTATTTGACAAGCATGAGTGACAATTACCCAATAACCGCTGCTCATGGCCTGCCTACTGTGTGTTTAGTAGGATTGGGGGGGTCCGGGATCACATGTATGGACATGTGGGTGGGGTTGTTTAGGATGAGGCGAAAACAGAGCCCACCACCCATCTCTTTGCCTCTCTCTTTGGGGCAGATGATCTGCTGCAGGTAGATATGCCTTTCGTACATTGAACACTACAATGCCTGCCTTTAATTTAAGGCCCAAAATTAAAGAAACAACTATATATTTTGAAACTTCTCAAGTCTTAAATAATAGTGTTCCCTTTGGAGACAAGGATAAAAATTAGGTTTTTACCTAAAAAAAAAATATGATAAAAAGTAGGTGGAAAAGAAGGTTGAAATTGAGTGGAACTTGACCGTTCTACCAACTAAGTCAATGATAAGATATAACTTACCTCTGTTCAAGTAAAATAAAGAATGAAAAAAATTAGAAAAAATGAGTTTAATTTTACCCTAATATCCATACATATTAATATAAGGGTTTAGTTTGCAGTGCCAAATATAGGTATACCCTACTTCTGGTCAACTCTCCGAATAAGTGTGTTTATGTTCGAGTCCTCCTCCTCCCCTAATCTGATAGATTATATAAAAACAAATGAAAAAAAAAATTTAAAAATGATATTTTATACCATAATGTATTTAATTTTACCCTTATATCATTATATACGAACATAAAGGTGTAGTTTGGACTGCCAAAAGTGTAAAATAAACTCCTACAATGCAAATTCTAAATGATCCATCTTATCATCATCTTTTCTTCCTTTTTTGAGCAAACCTTTTTTACATCGAAGACTCTCTTCCACTCCTTTTATTTTTTACCGAACAAAACCTAAAAACAGAGCAAAATATAAGGAGACATAAAGCACGTGAAAGAGTTCAGTACTCACTGTCCTGTGGCCACACCTGGCCCCAAACAGGTCATTAATGTGTCAAAAAAAGTGGATTATAAATGTCTCAGCCATGTGTTAGAGAAGAAATGAGGACCCTAGTCTTATTCTGTTGAAGATTTTGCATAAATAGTAAATTTATGAGCTTTTAAGTACTGACCATGTCAGACGCTCTCTAATTAATGACAGAAAATCAATTTAAATTATGCTAGCCTCAATAGAATACGTAGTACATGACTAGCTAAAGTTGCAGTGATACATGGGTGGGGGTGGTGGTGGTTTTTATTTTTTATTTTTTTTGTTGGTTCGTTGAAGGCGTTGGTTCGTACAAATCACCCCTATTGCTACTTTTCTCTTTTCGGTGATTTTCGTTGTTGAACTATAGTTCTTTCTTAACAAATTTGAAACTTGTTCTTCATTTTTCTTATTTTGTTTCATGATTTGTACGTTTCTATACTGTTATTGATGACTTGGCCTTTGTGCCTTTGCAACGATAATAATAATAGTAAAAAACTAATACCATAATCCATGGTTAATTAATTTAAAACTAAGATTGTGCATAAACAAATGTTACTATACTCGCAGGGTAAGTAATGTACTTTATCTGCTAGGTTACGGGATGCATTTTATATAGGTTTCTAGTATACCCTTGTGGGATTCCTGTTGAAGCATATATTCGGGGGTGGGTGTAGGTCAACTCTAGAACATTATGTGACATTAATCTTAACATTGTGTTAAAGTGATATCAAGCTATGTATTCAGACACTCCACGGTGTACTTTGAAGCATATATATGAATTGTTCAATTTCGACCTATGGTTCGCAATTGTGATATTGGTAGTGATCGCGGTATAATAAATTCGGACGAATATCAGTATAACCCGACTAAATCGATCGATTTATAAAAATGTATAATAGTATCATACCGTTAAAAATAAAATATTTGTCCAATTAAATTGTATGATTCACGTATCGATCATGCTAACCGTACAGTCTCACCGGACGAGAATTTACCAGTCTCTTTGATGAAATCATTCATTTTTGGAAACTTTTCGTTACTCAAAATTAATCTTGAAAGAAACGAAAAACCTGCCATGCCTGGGGTGATGGAGAGAGAGCTCAAGTGAGGACCCCCCTCTTCATTGCTTTGCTGAGGCATGAAATAATTGAAATCCAACTGTCAAATGCTAGTGTTGTCCAATCACATTGGAAGGCCACGTTGGCTTTCGGGTATCGTGTGTGATAAAAAAATTGCTACTGTATTCAAAATGGGGAAAGGTGGGTAAAATAGCCTTAAACACTACTCATAGCAAAGCTTACATGCTCCACTCATAACCATTACTACAATTGTACATCAAAAATGGATTATTAGCTACTTACACCAACAACACACATTTAGGATCCATTTAATCCAGCAAACTAGCACAACTAAAGACATTTTGAATACGCAATCTTTCCAAAGAAACCTTATAATGAGACACTCTTATATAAACTCGGTATAATTACAAAATTAAAATAATATTAAAATGCATCTTTTAATTTGACTATTGAACTTATAAATATCCACGTGTGATAGCATTAATTAAAATATTACAGTAGGACCCGCTTAGTTTATAACTCTGAAAAATTCAAATAACAGAAAATTATTTTTATAAAATTATAAAAGACAATTATCTGAAAACATACTTTTTTTACAACTGAGTTTACAGAAAACAATTTTCATAAAACTGAACTAAGCGAATTTTTTTGTACAATTTTCTCTCATCAATTTTCTGAAAACAAAAAATTGTTCTCAGAATTATAAACCAAACATACTCTATGGTATCTCGTTTTAAACAGTGTTTCCCTATATATTAAAAATTTTCAAGTGCTTTAATCCTTTTGTTTTAATAAATAATTATTTCTTAAATGGCGTATAACTTTAGTAATATATCAGATGATCAATTCTAATTCACTTTGTTTTTTAAAAAAGTGCAACTATTTATGAAAAATTAGAGAGCAACTAATAATGTAGCTCATGTGTCACATCTAGCATCATTTCATAATTTATCATCTAAAATGTTAATATGTGGTAGCTCCACCCAAAAATTATCTTCAATTTCTATTTAATACACTTTAAATAATATTTTTCAACACATTTATTTTATATTTTAATACAAAATTAAAATATAAAATAAATGTGTTAAAACATGATTCATATATGTTAAAAAATAAAAATAAAAATAATGTTAAAAATAAATTTTAACATATTTATCCTAAATTTATAAAAAAAAGCTACATGTATATATTTAAGGGATATATAAAAATGCAAATGTTCATCTTATCTGGTTGGGGACAGCAGTTGTAGATGCTGTTTGCCTGTTGGCTCCAATCCCCGTCAACACTCACGAGCATTTCATCTCTCTCTATTATTATTATTTTTTACTATTATTTTCTCTCTCCTCCACCTCCTCCTTTTTTTCGTTTTTTCTTTTTTCTTTCCTTCTGTGAGCTGCAATTACAAAGAACTGATAGAGTGGTGAAAAACCAAGCAAAGCTCACCCAATCCCCGATGCTCAGATTCTTCACCTATTGAAACCCTCCTTTGATTCCCGAGTCCATCACAAACCCCAACCAACCAACCTCCCCTGCCCAATACCAACCATATCATGAAGCGAGACCACCGTTTTCCTCCTTATCAGGAACAATCCGGCGGCGGCAGTTGTTCTAATTCAATGGCGGCGGATGGAAAAGCTAAGATGTGGGGGGAAACTGAACAAGACGATGAGCTTCTGGCGGTTTTGGGTTACAAGGTCAAGTCCTCAGACATGGCTGTGGTGGCCCAAAAGCTCGAACAGCTCGAAGAAGCCATGGGTAATACCAGTGAACAAGATGAATTGTTATCTCACCTGGCTTTGGACACAGTTCACTATAACCCTTCCGATCTCTCTTCTTGGCTCGAATCCATGATTTCCGAGCTCAACCCTCTCCCTCTCCCCAATTTCGATTCCATTCCGTCTCAACTTCGGGCGATCGATGACCCATTTCTAGCCCCAGCCGAATCATCCACTATCACCTCACTCGACAATAATAATCGCTCTCCATTTTTCGAAGACCCATCTTCAGATTACGATCTCAAAGCGATTCCAGGTAAAGCGGTTTACTCCCAAATCCAATCGTCTCAATCGCAGACGTCAAATTCAAACAAACGGTTGAAACTCTGTTCTGGGTCTTCATCCTCCACTGCTTCTTCGATGCCGGCGGTGGCGGTTGGGGGCTTGGGTTCTCCGTCGATTGAATACAATACTCGCCCAGTAATCCTGGTTGACTCGCAAGAAAACGGTGTCCGACTCGTCCATGCTCTACTGGCCTGTGCAGAAGCTGTTCAACAGGACAAACTCAAACTCGCAGACGCACTGGTGAAACAAATTGGGTTTCTCGCCATCTCCCAAGCCGGTGCTATGCGAAAGGTTGCTACCTACTTCGCCGAAGCTCTGGCACGACGAATCTACAGATTATACCCTCAAAACCCTCAGGACTCAACCTTCTCTGACCTCCTTCAAATGCATTTCTACGAGAGCTGTCCCTACCTTAAATTCGCCCATTTCACAGCCAATCAAGCTATCCTTGAAGCTTTTGCTAATAGGAAAAGTGTTCACGTTATCGATTTCAGTATGAAACAGGGTATGCAATGGCCGGCTCTGATGCAAGCTCTGGCTCTCCGACCCGGCGGTCCTCCGACGTTCCGGTTGACCGGAATTGGGCCTCCTACTCATGACAACACAGACCATTTACAGGAAGTTGGGTGGAAATTAGCTCAATTGGCCGAGACCATTCACGTCGAGTTCGAATTCAGGGGCTTTGTTGCCGCCAGTTTAGGCGATCTGGAAGCGTCGATGCTTGATCTCCGAGAGGGTGAGGCCGTCGCTGTCAATTCGGTGTTCGAGTTGCATCAGTTGTTGGCCCGACCCGGTGCGATCGAGAAGGTGTTGTCTGCAGTGAAGGAGATGAAGCCGGAGATAGTGACGGTGGTGGAGCAAGAAGCGAACCACAACGGATTAGATTTCTTGGACCGATTCACCGAGTCGTTGCATTACTACTCGACTCTGTTCGATTCGTTGGAGGGTTGTGGTGGGTCGTCATCTCCGGTGAGTAATCAAGACAAGGCCATGTCGGAGGTGTACCTGGGGAAGCAGATCTGTAACATTGTGGCCTGCGAAGGGTCGGATCGGATTGAGCGTCACGAGACTCTGACTCAGTGGCGAACTCGGTTTGGCTCGGCCGGGTTTGAGCCAGCTCACCTGGGTTCGAACGCGTTCAAGCAGGCGAGTATGTTGTTGGCTCTATTCAATGGCGGCGATGGGTACAGAGTGGAAGAGAATAGTGGGTGTCTCACACTGGGTTGGCACACTCGCCCACTCATTGCCACCTCGGCTTGGAAACTCAGTTAGCAGCTGAGCCAACCCAACTCACCAAACCAAACCAAACCCTAGGCCTTCGCTGGGTGGGGGCCTTTAGTTTAGTGTGAGGGTGAGACCCACCACTAGTCCAAAGCGTGTCTCCTTTCTTTTTTCACTGTGCCAGTCTTTTTTTTTTTTATAATTTGTTTCTTTATTTGGGTGGAATCTTGTAATTTTTGGGTGAATCTAAAAAGGTCAATGTGTTTATATATATATATATATATGGTAGCTTTTATTTAATAATAAAAAAAAAGACTTTATTGGAATTTGAAGTGGAGACTAAGGCATGCATGTACTTATTTTTAGAGAATATGGTGGGGGTACGTTGAAAAGTATCAATGAAGCCTACTACTCTATTTCAACCTTTATATATATTAAACTTATACACCAAGCCTTATCAAACTTTAGGACTTCACACAAAAGCTTAAAATTAAATGCGCGGTGTAATCTAAGTCAAATAAAGCGCAAAGTGAATTAAGTAACATAAAGTGAGAGTGAAAGCAAATTTAAGAATGGGAGTATAAAAATGGTAAAATTAAATTAGAAATAATGAGAATTCGAACGAGAGTCAGAGCGTGAAACCGAGAGTACACTCGGAACATGAAAGTTAGAACGCTTTCGTAACGTGAAAGCGACACCTAGTGAAAATAATTGTGTGACCTAGGGTGTAATATTATTATTTTGAAAATTCGATACCTATACTTTAAAGATACATGTTTATGAATTTTTTTTTTCTTTTTTTTTTTTTCTTTTTCGAATGGTAAAGTAAATACATATCATTTTGTTTATGTTCGGGTTCGAACCCTTCTCTTCTTTTTTGATGATAGAAAAGTTATATCGCTATATCAAAGTCTACGATGTGAATTATGAAGTTATCTTGTAATTGTAAATTGTTTTTGCATTTCATGACTTCAAATTACCTAACATGGTCTTTGATTATTTATATGTGTGGAATGGGCCATGTGGAAGGAAGGTGCCTGTAAGAATAATTGTTAGTATTTATAACCTTGGAGAAATAATATAAAAACTTTTATTGAGTTGAGTTGAGTTGAGACTCAGCATGAAAGCTACATTGATTTAAGCTAACTAAACTTTAAGCTGATAATAAATTAATTTTAATTAATTGGATGGCGATATGGCCGGCGAGAGATATTTTATAGTAGATTATAGGCTCCCTTTCACCGAAGAGTTCTATATTGATACGTTTTTTAATAATTGTTATGTATTTAGGAGAGATATTTTCTGGTAGATTATAGGCCCTTTAAACGAAGAGTTACATATTGATACTTTTTTAATAATTATTATGTATTTAGGATTACCGAATCAAATTTAGCTCAAAATTGAAAGTGAAATTTCTCAAATTTTAAATCTAAGGTGCCTATACAATAGATGTGGCAAAGTTTGACACCATCCGTCAACACGACTTGAATATGACACAAGTTAAACGAATTTGGGTTGATTTTAAATGGATTCGGATTATAAATGGGTCGACACAATTAATCCGTTTAGTTAGTTATATCGCGTTTGAGTTGAGGGATTTAATCCGTTTATACCCGTTTAACTGTACGTGTCATAAGCAAATTTCCATTTAAGTTTCAAAATAACTATCTAAACTTGTATGTTATAATTTATTCTTTTGTAGATAAAAGATTATTTAGTAATTTGGTTGGATTGAAACTTATATTTTTCTAGTATTTAATGTTTGATCTAGTATTACTAGTAATTTAAATATTAAAATATTTAATTTTATTAAACAGGTCATTAAACGGGTTACACGCGTAACCCGTTTAAAAAATAGGTCAGATTAGTGTTAAGGGTTTCTGACACGATTATTAAACGTGTAAACCGTTTAAAAAACAGGTCGAGTCAGTGTTGAGGTTTCTGACATGATTATTAAACGGGTCGTATTCGGATTAAACTGTTTAATAGAATATTTTTATATCAATACGACACAATTACGACCCGTTAACACGAATTGCCACACCAATATGAGTGTACAATACTCCCAAATATAGTCCAATTTTTTTTCTTTCGATTTGGCAATTCATATGATATATAACTTGCATATATATGAGCAGTGTATTTGCATATAATGACGGTAAAACACGGACACATCTTATATGCAACAAATATTATACTAATTAGCTAATTTATATGTAGTACTTGTCTTAATGCATAGATTAAGACATATATATATATATATATATATATATATATATATATATATATATTTTAAACAATTTGGGATCAGTTTAAAAGTTGATTCCAAAAAATGCTTAAGAAATGGTCAAAACTCACTCATATTATATATAAGCTTTGTGTAACAAATTAGGAAAGGATAAATTACACTCACACCCCAAGTTTGGGTTAACAAATTATGAAAGGTAAGTTTACAATTTAGAGGCTTTTTGGATAATGACACCCTCAAGTTTGGTAAATTAAATAAAGACACCCCAATCATGATAAAAGTACATAATTGTCATTTTACTATTGAATTGACCGTGTGAATTATTAAATTACCTTTATAACCTCCTTTTAAATGACCAAAATGACCTTTAGGAATGTATACAATCTCAACCACCTACCCATAGTGCTGCCGCCACCACCTCATAGCACCACAAACTCTTCATTCGTCGTTTCCATCTCTCTAAAATATATAAACACGCGTGCGCGCGTGCGCACACGCACACACATATGTACACACGATAAATATTTGCAAACCTAAACCCAGCTCTTCAAAATCTAAACATTGCAAGAACTTAAAAGGGCCATGTCCAAAGAAGAAGTTAGCGTCACGGGGAGAGAAGAAGGTGAAGGCCTCATCGTTGGGATCTGGTATCAGAGGTGTTGATTGAAATCGTGTTAATGCAGTGGCCATTGATCGTATTTATGTGATCGCATTGCGATCACCGTCGGTTTGAAGTTATCGACGACGAAGAAAATGAACCGCACCAGCAACGTTGAGCTGATGTATGTGTGTATATATACATATCTCTGTCCATCTTCATTTTCCAAATTAAACGCACCAACAACAATATTTACACATACATACACCCCTTGTATCTATCACCCACAATATGGTGGATTTAGATTTGAAAACCAAGTTGGTGCCCTCCGATTTGCCTAATAAATCACCCAAACTCTCGAATAAACTGAGAATTTTAGCACTATCTCTATTTTGTGCCACCGATTTGCCGCCGGTGTGCTTTGGTTACGAGTACAACAGTTTTTCACTCGAATTGCTGAGAGAATCGATTGCAGAGACTTAGAAATAGCTTCAATCAACTGTTTCTTACTCGAAACGATTTGAAAACTTTTAGCTAAGATTGAAGATCTCCATTTGCTGATGGATCTAAACAAATTTCTCCGATTAAAGAACCAGCTTGCCCTTGGTTAGTACTATCGCCATTCCTCTTCGATGCTGACGTCGCCGAAGCACTTCGATTGCTTATGCTTCATCGCCCAAATCGACGACTCCTTCGGTTACAACGTGAGGGACTACACCGTCAAAATTCACTACGGTGTGACCACAATTATGGTAGGAGAAAAATTAACTCCCTCCAACTCACTCAACGGTCGATTGTTGTTGAGAGTTAAATCCCTCTTTCATTACACACAGTGAAAGTATCATCACATCACATCAACACAAGCATATATAGAGATAACAATCACACATATCCACGCACAATACAATATTTTACATGGTTCACCCAATTCTAGGGTTACGTCTATAGGAGAGATAAATTTTACTATTATGAATCAAGGAAGATAATATACAACCATATGTCAAAACTTCACTCACTCACTTATCATCTCTTTTGAAGTTACATGTATATACTCGGGAACTAAATATACTCTCTTATTTCCTCACAACACTCACCCTTAAACCTGTTACATCTTTTCTCTCTTCTCTCTCTCTCTAAACCTTTCATACCCATCTTTATTTATAAAGCCTTTAAACCCAATTCCTTGTTGGAAAATGATCAACTTGCTTATAAGGAGTTACCATATCCGTCTTCAACTTTAAAATAGCAGGTACAATTTCTTCTCAAAATCTTCAGCCTTTTCCCCAAGTCTTCTGACTTCCAAACCTGATTAGGAAACTATTTCCCGCAGCTTCCAAAAGGAGTTGAACCAGTTCATCAACACTTTAACTAGTTCAACTTTGTTGCCCAAAAGTGTTACAACTCACTACCTCACTTGAATTAGTTCAACTAAGGTAGTAGTCAAAGTCCAACTCATCACTCCAGTTAAATTGGTTCAAAGTTCTTGAACGAGTTTAAACATACCAGTAGCTTAGACTCCACCTCGAATAAGGATCTCTTCATAACTCCACCTCAATTAAAGATTTCTCTACCTCAAATAAAGCACTATGATGAACTTGAGAAACACTTTAACAATCTCTACCTTTTCTCAAATTCGTCATTCTTCATTTTTTTTTTTCTATCTTCTTTATTCATCCCGTTGGTGTTCAATTGCTCACGCATGGCAACCCACCAATTTTTAGCTCATCTTCATTAATTACTTTTCTGACTTAAAAATAAAAAATAAAAAAAACCTCTCATCTTCACTTTTCATATTCCTCTTTACTCTTTATCGGACTTAAAGTAAACCCCTTCATTTTTCATACCCCTTGCCACATCTTGAGAACTAGCACTCACTCTTGGCTTGTCCCTAAAACTTGTTCCTCGTGGGCTTTTACTCTATCACATTTGCTCCATCTTGAAAACGAGCATCATCCGGCTTGTCCTAAGACTTGTTCCCCATGGGCCTATGTCTTCACACCATTTATCTTCTTTATGTCATTATCAACTCTAATTGAATCTCCATAGCCACCTTACAATCATCCTCTGCCTGACAAACTTCACACCAATTTTCTGGACTGATCTTTAGGACCAATCACAGGCTCTGACCTACCATCGGCTCTGATACCAGTTTTTGGAGAAATTAACTCCCTCCAACCCACTCAATGGTTGGCTGTTATTGAAAGTTAAATCTCTCTTTCATCACACACAGCAGAAGCATTATCACATCATATCAACACAAGTATATATGGAGATAATAATCACACATACGCACGTACGTACAACACAATATTTCACATGGTTCACCCAACTCTATGGTTACGTCTATGGGAGAGAAAAAAAATTTACTATTATGAATCAAGGAATAAAATATACAACCACATGTCAAAACCCCACTCATTCACTCATCATCTCTTTTGAAACTACATATATACACTCGGCAATTACATATACTATTCCCC